TTATCGGGGTCCCTCTGTCCACAACACGCTTGGTTCAGAAATTCAATTGAAAATTAAAAAGCATTTCTAAAAGAGTCGCGTCGGACGTGTCAATTTTATTTTTGTTACGAAAAACAACGATTTTAATTATACGCATTAAAGTGTTATATCGAGTGTAATTAACGAGCGCGTCCCGACGCCACGGCGTCGCAGCACCGAGGACAGTCGCCTATTATTAGAAACGTCTCTTCTCGTTCCACTCTTTCAACTCCTCAGGCACGGCGCGATTTTCAGTTTTCCACTGTGTGCGGCTATTCGAAGATTCGATAGTGTAAATTGCACAGATTGTCGTGTAAATTGTTCCGCGATCGAATTACAACTTCAATCTTTCCTTACTCCGACTTTTGTTCGTTAAAAGAGCACGGTAACAAAAAAAAAATATCGTCTTAACCACTGTCGCGTCGATTAAAAATTTTCGCTGCATAAGAGATACACCGGACGCGTAATCAAATATCGGTTTATAAAAGTTTCGTTCGAATATATATCTAAAATACGTAAATGCGTGAAAGGTGTAGCGTAGCTGGGTAAATGCTGTTTTAAAACCTAACCTCGATTAATTGGGGGTTAATTAAGGGACGTCCTGGGGTGTAAAAGTATAACGATACAGCGAAGGAAGGCAACACGAGAAACAGAGAGAGAGCAAACGAGAAAAAGTGAGCACGAACGGGAGAGCTAAACGGAAGCGAGCCAATATGAGATTACAGGGCAGTTGGGGCTCGTGCCAGATGCGCGTTTACACGGGCCGTGAATGCTGTAAATGCACTATCTGGTACGACATCTCTCCTGTCACCGCCACCAGTAACGGTCACCAAGCTGCTGCTTTTCGGCGGTGCGACGTAAAATAAATACAAAGAGTTCTTGGTTAGCAAAAAGAAACGTAATCGCTTCGAGTCTATTTTTAACTCTTCGAGCGACAGTCTGTAAAAAAGAACCGTTGATCCGACAAGATACGCGTTCTCGGGTCAAGTTTCCTTTCAATGTTACGTTAATTGGTCACGGTAGCTCGAAGGGTTAAATGTCGCGACGGAATCGAGGCGTGTAAATTTTTTTTCAGATGGTTTGTGACTTTCGTCGTTGACACGTTCGCTGTCCATTATGTTCACGGGTAGCTTTTGCACACAAAAACTGTGCTTGGAAGTTTCTCGTTGGGAAGTAATCTAAAAAAAAAAAAAGTATTGTGTGCAGCGAACTTGTCAATCGATTGTCCTAGAGTTACGTTGGTGTTTGTGCGTAGAAAAGATTGTTATTTGCAATGAAAAACTCGTCGAAAGCGTGACGTGTTTAACGTTGTTGAATATGAACGGGGGGGGGCAGAGTGTATTTAAAATGGAAGCTCGTACGACGACGATACCGCGATGAACAACGAGGGTGCAGATTGCGTGTGTTTGTAAGTTCGCGTCTCTATCCTCGTCTCTGTATCATCCCAGCAGAAATATCCACACGTCGACGAGAGATCCGACACGCCTGTCATTGAAAAACGTTACGGAGACGCAATGTCACGTTACGTCACAGTTGCGAAGACGGAATCGGGGAACAATTGGATACGCGAAGAACACCGGGATTCCTTTTCCAGCAGAGCATGTATCGTATTCTGTTCCGGTATATGTCATGTAATATCATACGCGTCGGCGTTATCCGATCGCCCGTTACACGGTGTCATCTTTTTATTCGACAGATTTCGGAAAACATAATGCACGTTGTGTTCGACGAGATGAAAGTTAAAATTAAAATTGATCCGGCAAACAATGTATTAAGGTTAAGTCTTTGTCCAACTGCAGAAATTGTATTATACATTCCAATCTCGACTCGAAATTACCAATGCATCGAAACTAGAATAAATTGGCGACAAAACGTGCTCTAACATATTTTGGAAAAATGCATCGGACAGTGGGCGTGGATTAAATTATCTTCCAATTTGTTGTCGGCGCCCAGAATGCATGTGTCCGAACGTATGTACCCCAGTGAGTTAAAATTGGACCGTAGAATGAGATTGCGAAATTATAATCTAAAACTAGAGTGTAGAGCATCCGCTGAAGAAATCACGAAACATGGCTGAGCCACACACCTCGCTGTACGGAGATAAATCGCTCACGGAAGATCGTTTTTAAGTATTACGTACATGGCGATGCATATCGTCGACGATGTTAAAAATGTCAACGTACCGTTTGTGATTTTATTTAGAACCGGGTCATCCTCTACGATTTACCACCCTACACGAAAGAACATCTGTCTGTATACACGTCGTTACCGATATTGCATAACATTCCACGCTTTATAAAACTACCAGTTTCGAAATATAAAAACTGAAACATGACCATTCGAAGTATCTTGGAATCATCCTTGTCCACGTAAGAATGTAAATATCATAATCGTTTGGATTATACGCACATATGTATGTATGCACATGTATCGCCACAATTTCTACCGCGCGACACGAATGAATAAAATTGACAGGAAATTTCACAATACATCGAACGAAAAAACGCCTTCGACCATCACGATTTAATTGCAAGTAATTTTTCACGTGTACGCTACTTGATTTTGTGTAAATTTGTTCGTACACGCAATGTTTGCAAAAAAAGAACCGATTCGTTTCGCGACGAGCGAAATGTCGTAGCTTCGTGAGATTTAACCTAAAAGAAACTTAGCGAACAATTTATATTATCGACAATAGGTAGTTGCTAACGAGATATGGAAAACCTGTTTTGTCGCGATAAATTCACACACGCCGAACGAAAAGAACTTGAACCGAAGTTCTCGATGCTTCCAGCGTCGGTGTCGGGTTCTTTTTTTTGTTCGTACCGTCCGTAACGTAAACACGCGTGTTCTTGGAATGCTGCGCGTTCCTCGAGTCCAGCCTCGCGAGGGGAAAAAAAAAACCAGTCGAGCCTGTGTTTTGCACGGTTCGTGGTGTGCAGAGTATATGCTCGTTTTTATGCCTTCGTTCCCTTTGTTGTGATGTATCGGCTTTCCGACTTCTATGCGATGCTATCGTATCGGCATTCGTTTCGTTCAACACGGAGAGTCGGGCAGAATTTTATTTGAACAATAGACGAATATAACCTCTCTGTATATCGGTTTACTCTAGTCGAACAGAGTTACTCGTGTAACCTTGTATTCGTTCAACGTGTAACGTAATTTGTATCGATATTAGATAAAATGTTCTTGTGTCCTTTATATTCGTTGCTTAAATATGAAAGAGTTCTGTTCATTTCTGGTTCTACTGTCTCGTGATTTACTATCATATTAGAGATCGTCGTTAATTTTGTAACGGGACATGGGATCTCACAGCGACAAACCGTTTCTTTTTTCGCGTCAGGTCCGTTCACAGATGGAACCACTTGCGTTGTTTTGATCTTCCCAAAGTAACGTTCTCGCGTAGGTACATAACCCTACATCCAGCCACCATCTTTTCATCTTAGTAACGTAGACGGAACGTGGGAAGCTACTTGGATTCTGAAGATGATCGTGGACAAACGTTTAAACATTTCGAAAATCATTTGTCGCTGATGCGTTGCCACGTTGTCACCATGTTTTATCGTTACTCATTGTAATTGTAATGACAATGACAATAAAAATCATGCTGTACCATCCCCTCCATCATTTCATTTCATGCCGTCACCACCTTTGGGCGTAACTTTTTTAAAGCAACCGTTATTATTTAGAAGAGCGTCTTTATTACGCGCATACATTACGCAAGTTACAAAGCTACTATATTTAAATCCTTCGTCGTTGGACTTCTTTTTGCATTTTATGGCACGATATTAAAACGCCTTTAGTAAACGATAAATCGCCGTAATTATATGGAATAGAAATCATAAACGCACACCGCTATTCGTCACATTATCATTTACGATACTTGTAGGTAACCTTCGGAATTTAAAATAGTTATGAATTAAAAATTTCCCAATTCCCTGGCAGTGATAAGTTGTCGAAACGTCTTTTTATAAATTGCCTCATTGTCAATGTCGCTTCGAAGTTCAATATTATCGATATCTGAGAAGTTTAATATAGTGATGGACTTAAATGAACGGGGCGGGGGGCAGGGTGGGGAAGGACCAATAGATGGGGAGAGTCTCAGAATACTTTGGTTAAAAATAATCAGCTCTCACTGGGATGGTCAGAAATTCGGGAGCAAGGTCAATCGATAGCGTCGCAACTTCCTAAACATGTGTATAAATATTCGTTTCTTATCGTTCGCAAGTATTTTAAATTTTACTTCGATACGCGTTACTAAATAACACGTTGCCCGGCAACGCCATGCGAGATTTTATGGAAATAAACCAGACGGTAGTTATAGCGACTGTATTTCTTTTTATAAACAGTTCCCCCCCTCCCCCTCGGTTTGTGTATGCATGTCTTTCTAATAAAATGCGAAATACATTTTATCGCGCGAGATTTAGATCTAAAAATGATGTTCCAAAGCGCGATATCCAAACATCAGGAATGACCGTCTCGGCTGCACGTGTCCAACGTGGCGCAACACGCGGAAGAAAGAAGAGCCAAAAACACGAGGAATCCTTGGACAAGAAAATTTTGTTGCGATCGGCATGTTGGCAGTGTGGTTAGCTGGTTGTGTGGTTAAGTATATACACGACCGCTATCGGCACTGCAATTATATGACGATCGCGGATCTACGATCAAAGGATGCCCTCCTGAAACCAGACACCCCGGGTGCCCCACGAGGATACATCGGAATTACTACTCGAGAATCGCGTTGGAATTCAGTAGAAACTCCCGCGTAACGTTGGAAGAAAAGAAAGAACTGCTTTACCAGTCGAGCTCTGGTAATATGTCCACTGACTTTTTCTTCCCTCCAAGTCGGTGGTTTCCAAACGTTTCCAAAATTTCGAGGTTAGATGGTCAAAGATGAAACCGGACGATAAACATTTAACAGGAAAATGCACGTTGCCCCGAGAGATCGGACTGCGACTTACGCTCGCCTTTTCCTTCTGTTGCAGGTCTGCCTACGTATCGTTCGGAGGACTGCTGATGAGGTTACAGGGTGACGCAAACAACCTACACGGTTTCGAGATTGATCAGCATATGTACCTACTCATGAAGAAACTCGCGTTCTAACTGCGCCATACGTTGGAACATGACTTGGGAAATTTATATCTTGAATATTGTTTTCTTAGAGCATAAAGATTACTAGAACTAGTCGAAGTTCGCGACCACTGATGTGCATTTAAAAAAGACTTATACCTTGTACCTTTCACGAAAACAGAGAATCGTAAAAAAGATTCTTATTTATTTCAGACTCTTCAGTCGTGAATATACGGATCTTGATCAAGAGCATTGCCACTGCCACAATTTCTAAGACACACACAGTGATCAATAAAGATATTTTTCCATGTTAATACTACCCATTCTACCTTCGATCCTAACTTATACGATATAACAGAAGGTAAGTGTTACCCTGATCGTGCAGCAATAAAAAAAGAAGTGCCTGTCGGTATAATTTATCAACTGAATAAAACGTTGACGATTTCTGCTATTGAATAAAATGCGTGCAAAAAATAGGCAACGACGAAACTGCCCCTCCCCCTCCTCCCCACACCCACCGGAGTTTCTAGATTTACACCGTGCGTTGCAATCAGCTAACAGAATTGGTACAAATCCAAACGAACAGTTTCTGTGCACCTCCGTTGCAAGTCGATTAATATCGCGTCGCAATTGGATTTCGTTTTTGTGATTACATTACGTTTACCGGGGCATCGTAATTTTCTTATTCCCTTTGCTCGTAGCTTTTTGCCTTTTCGACTGCTTTCGATAACGAATCAAATTGTTAGGCAATTGGTTAAATTGCGTAAATCGTTTTTCAGCGACTCGTAGATAATTTTAAAAGTGCCCATTGTCATTTTAAAAAACACGATCTAATTGAAACGGGGCTTTGTCGAGTACGCGAGAGCGAGATGAGAGGAGCGTACAAATAGAGACGCCATCAGGGACGGGGTAGAGTCAAGAGTTAATTTATGTAATTAAACTCGCGGTATTCCTGACCTTGTACGGCTGAATGCGAGCCGATCGAGGCTGGCTCGAACAATGTGGCATAAGTGCACTTGGCGTGGGCTCGTCTATAACCCCAACATGGCTGCCCGTTGCGTAACACCGTCGTTCAGCAACATGGCTGCCACTTAATAAGGGTCTGATCCTAAATAGATTGGCCCAATGACATATAATTCGCTTTTATCTGGCCGGCCGTGCGAGGTTGCGCAACGCTTGCAAACGCAAGGGACCGACGGAGACTAAGAAAAATCGATAGTCCTAGGCAAGCAGAGCACTGCCAGCTCTCGATGCCACCCTGAAACTGCATCTCGTTATTTACAACAACTCTGATAAGTCGGACACCGCCTGGCATATCTCTGAATTCTAGAAACACCAATGGTAGAGTTCGTGGTCCACCAGTAAAAAAAATAAAAAAATGATTTATCGTCCCTTACGTATTTGAGAATTGGTTCTAGTTTACTGGGATTACCAATGAAAGAGTAAATAATTAAAAAGGAACGGGAGTAGTCACAGTGGTAACTTCTTTTTGGTTTCGAAAGAAATTTAATGCTTTGTTCGTCAATTATAAAAGTTTTATAAAATAAGGCAATTAATATTTACAAGCGTGTGCAATTACTGCAACGTCTTTAATATTAACGATGCATTGTCGATCGACGACACGTGGCAGAGACCCGAACATTCTCTGTATACGAAGTCTACAATTAATTCTATGCATTTCTCTTAATAAGTATTTAGTTTCGTTGTGATAACAACTCTTATGCATTGATCGAACGCAGTGCAAACAGCCAGTCCTTGTTTGTCCGGACTCCAGTCTAAAGAGCTGACGGGTTGCGATGAAAGAGTAGCATTTTGTAGAAGACTTAGATTGCCAATGACTCCGTGTTCGATGCCATCCGCGTCCGCTAATTTTCTTTTTTCTGGATAATTACTGAAATAACAACGTTCGATATCAAATGTATAAGCTTGCCGAAAATATTACATTTACGGATAGAGAAAGCATAAAATTGATATTTACTATTTCCAAAGGCAAAGAGTTCCTCCCCCACCACAAGTAACAAATATTTCACGATTTTGTGGCAAGTGTCTGACCAACCATACCGTTGAATTGTGCGCCTGAAAATGATATTACATTACTCCATAGCAAACGTAAAATAGAATTTTTCTTTTAGATCTCGTATCGTACCTTTTCCATATGATAAGCAAATCCCTTTTTAGGATGTTGTGTTTTCAAGTCGAACAAGTAAAACTTTGACTCCAAAGTAGTTGCTACCAATTTATTCATCGCGATATCCTTTCTATCAAATTCGAGGCTACAAATACCATTCTTTAGATTACTTTCCCATTGTACGGACATTGTCTTCAAGTCGAACATTTTTATGTCCCCATTGTCGTAACCAGCAGCTACCACTCTTTCTTCCGAATTATACGAATTTCCAAACGTAACTGCCCAGCAGTCTCTGCGAGTTTCACCTTCCTTGGGTTCCATTATAGCTACCGGACGTCCTTTCTGTCTAGGATCCCAAACTTTAACGCTTCCATCTCTGGAACCGGTCACTAATTCAGGTGCACCGCATCCGATGCTTTGTCCAGCTACACCATCGATGCTATTTATAATCCCATTGTGAGCATTAGCTGTGTAAATTGGTACGGAAGGATCCTCCAGGTTGTAGACGTTCAGTTTACCCTAATAAAGGTGGCTTTAAGTTTTCTGAATGTAGGAACAACAACTCATTAAAATATGTTTGAGTGTTAAAAGGATAGAAGAAGTCTTTTAAGTCGTTTTTAATGTATTTTAACATACGTATTCTTTACTAATACCTGGAAATCACCAGCTGCCAGATATCTGTCTTTTAAGCTAGAAGCTTTGAAAGTTCCGCATTTCACTGGCTGCGATCTTTCGATATCTTTAACGAGTTTTAATTCTCCGCTTGACACTTCATAAATTTGTATAATACCGGTACCGCGCGGTCGTGAGCCCATAACCACAAACTTGGCACTGCACGGTATCCATTTAGCATCAAATAAAGAATAATCGACCGATTTCTCGATATGGCAAATTATTTGAGGCTTCTCAAGTTTCTCCATGTTTCTTAGAATTAACTTCCTAGTCAACCAGTCTAATTGTTAGGCGAAGTCCATGCAACCGTGACAAAAACGCGATAAACAAATTTAAGACTCGTTTTCATGTGGCATTAGGATCAGTGCACAGTCAAGTAAACCAAATCATACTTAATACGTACAGAGTCATTCAACTTATTAATATGCCTTATCAATTTATTATTATGCCTTTTGTTTATATTCTTCACTACCTTTCCCATTAATTTCCTAATTTTTATCTATTCTAAAGCTTCATAATCCCTTACGATTCCTCCAAATATTATTTGAATCCAATTAATATCTAATTAAATGCTTCGCCATTTCTCTACAGATTATTTAATTTAATTAATAAGTTATAATGCATCCTAGGGTGTTCAGGTTAGGTATAGTTTCTAGTCATGGGATAGTTAGTTTTAAGATCATTAGTTGGTAAACGTAATTTCGTTTCAATGCGCGAGAGCCTTTCAATAACGTGACGGCGGTCATTTCCAATGTCGAATTTTTCTTACGGAAATACACGTTTTATGACCCCCTGATCATATTTGAATTATTGAACAAAAATAAATTCATTTTTATTATTCCTATATATCAGCGGACATATGTATATCATTTCAGATATCACTTCTGATACATCTGGCAACGTATAACCATTACTGCTGGCTTCTGCTGGCCTCTGCTGACCTCTGCCAACATGTGCGGGCTTCTGCCTGCCTCTGCTGCCCCCTGCTGACCACTGCTGACCACACCTGATACTTCCGACAACGTATTACGATTACTACTGGTTACTGCCAGCCTCTCCCAGCCTCTGTTGGCCTCTCCTGACCTCCGCTTATATTTCTGACGACGTACAACAATTACAACTGACTTCTGCCAACCTCCGCTGGCCTCCGCTGACCACTGCTGACCATCCCTGATGCTTCCGACAACGTATAACGACTACTACTTGTTACTGCCTGCCCCTGCTGGTCTCTGCTTGCCTCTGCAAACCTCTGCTGTCCCCTGCTGCCCCCTACTGACCCCTGCTGGCCACTGCTGACCACTACTGACCCTTGTTAACAACTTCTGTCATGATATATATGTATTAAAATATTGTATAATGTAAATCTATGGCAATAAATGATATAATTACAAAGAATTCTATCTGTTCTCATCATTTTTTACCTTTCTTTTCGTCTCCAAATCATTACCTTAGTTATAAGACTCCCTGAAACTCCTTGGTTTCCCTGAACCCACTAGGAAGTCCAGAAACTCAGAACTTTGCTAAAAATTCAGGATTTCCAAGAATTTTTGGCGTTTCCAAGAAATCCCAGGACTTCCCAGTCCTCCCAGGACCTCCCTGAAACAATTGGAAAGTCCTGAAACAATTGGAAAGTCTCGAAACAGCTGGAAAGTCCTGAAACAGCTGGAAAGTCCTGAAACTCAGAACTTTGCTAAAAATTCAGGACTTCCAAGTTGTTTCAGGGCTTTCCAGCTGTTTCAGGGCTTTCCAGCTGCCAGGAATTTTTCGTTGTTTCAGGGCTTTTTCGTTGTTTCAGGACTTTCCAGCTGCCAGGAATTTTTCGTTGTTTCAGGGCTTTTCGTTGTTTCAGGACATTCCAGCTGTTTCAGGACTTTTCAGCTGTTTCAGGGCTTTCCAGTTGTTACAGGACTTAGAAAATTTTTCGGGCAAAAATTTTTAAGAGAACAATAATTTGAAAGTTAATTTTTCGTTTTTGGACTTTGCCATTTGGAGGACATGATATGGGAAGAGATGGCACGTATCTTATAACTATGAGAATGCTTTGGAGAGGTAAAGGAAGGTAAAAATGACGAGAAGACATAGAATTCTTTGAAATTATAACATTTATTGCCATAGATGTACATTATACAAAGTTTTAATACATATATCATGGTAGAAGTTATAAACATAGGTCAGCAGTGGTCAGTAGGGGTCAGTAGGGGTCAGTAGGGGCCAGCAGAGGGATGTAGAGGGATGTAGAGGCATGCAGAGACCAGTAGAGGCATGCAGAGACCAGCAGGGGCAAGCAATAACAAGTAGTAATCGTTGTACGTTGTCGGAAGCATCAGGGGTGGTCAGCAGTGGTCAGCAGGGGTCAGTAGGGGCCAGCAGAGGGATGTAGAGGCATGCAGAGACCAGCAGCGGCAAGCAGTAACAAGTAGTAATCGTTGTACGTTGTCGGAAGCATCAGGGGTGGTCAGCAGTGGTCAGCAGAGGCCAGCAGAGGCCAGCGGAGGCCAGCAGTAGCATGCAGAGACCAGCAGGGGCAAGCAGTAGCCAGTCGTAATCGTTATACGTTGTCAGAAGCAACAGGAGTGGTCAGCAGCGGCCAGTGGAAGCCAGCGGAGGCAGGCAGAAGTCATTAGTAATCGTTGTGCGTTGTCAGAAATATAAACGGTGGTCAGCAGAGGCCAGCAGAGGCAGGGAGAGGCTAGCAGTAGCCAGTCGTAATCGTTACAGTACCAGGAGTGGTCAGCAGTGGTCAGCAGGGGTCAGCAGGGGACAGCAGAGGCCTGCAGGGGGCAGCAGAGGCCTGCAGGGGCAAGCAGAGACCAGCAGGGGCAACTAATAGCAAGTTGTAATCGTCATACGTTGTCAGAAGTATGAGGAATGGTCAGCAGCGGTCAGGAAAGGCCGGCGAAGGCAGGCAGAATTCAGTAGTAATCGTTATACGTCGTCAGAAATATAAGCGGAGGTCAGGAGAGGCCAACAGAGGCTGAGCAGTCGAGATTTGGAATCGTATGCCGTCGACGTGAGGTCGAATGTCAGCTGTTCAAGAGCGCGGAGGCAAATAAGCCTTCCTCTCTCGACTCCCACGAGGCGGTCCGAAATTACTTCGGGCAGCTTCGGAGAATCGAGAAAGAGGGCATGCGTCAGTTTGCCTTTGTCGACTTTCCGTAACTCCACGAGGTCACGTACGCGTGATCTGGCATGTGTGAGTAGGGCACCGTCGGTGCTTTTCTGGCATCTCTGCACGAAAGTCCGTGAAAGCACAGACGAGGTGTACGAATAGACCTTTTAGAGGTATACCTCGTCTGTGGTTCCATCATTCCAAATCAATAATTTTAATTTTGTCAACTTACTCAATCTTCAACCCAATAGTGACACTTTATGTAGTAACAATTGCGTTCTGACATCCCCTTATTCAATTTATTTAAATAAATTAGCTGTACCGACGTATCTATGCAAGTTCGATTAATCCGTTTAGCGCACTCTACCACTGAATATAAAAAGCTAAGCAGAAAATAAAATATGGCGATCTACTGGATATTCTGTGGAGAAAACAAGGAGATCGGTCGTTTCAAATCTATTTTTCGCTATTTAACATGAGTGACGAAGAAGATGCCCTTCTTAACGAAGACAAGGATCAAGTAGGTTTATAAGAAACATATTTCTGGTTCAATTTTTGCGTTAACATGCAGTATTTAGACTTACTTTGGTCGTAAGAGGTTATGTTTACGTTTTAAACGAATAAAAGGTATGTTTAAATTAGATTTAAACGATTTAACGAGCTGTTACGATTTAGGAACAAATCAGGGCGGAACTTTCAGAGATGAGTTTCGAAGATTTACAGAAACTTAAAGAAAAATTGGGAACCAAAGTTTACAATGAAGCACTGTTTGGCCCCAAAAAGGTTAGGAAAGTCGTTTTCAAACGGGTAAATAAGAACAGACCACGAGAGATGTCGGCGAAGAAGCCTGTGTCACGATTTAGAGAAGTCGTGTACGTGAAAAAAAATATTCCCAGAGATCCCAGGTTTGACAGCCTTTGCGGTAATTTCGATCAAACAAAGTTCAAAAAGGCTTACGGCTTCCTAACCGACGTGAAGCAGAACGATTTGGAAAAGTTAAAGAAACAATTAAATGAAACCGAGGATCCAAAAATGATAAAGAAGATCAAATACCTTATTGAGAGATTAGAAAATCAATTACGCGAGGAGAGAAAGAAAGGAAAACAACAGGAGAGGATGGGCACAGAGAAGAAGGAAATAGCAGAGAGCATTAAACGAGGCGAGAAACCTGTATTCAAAAAGAAAAGTAAGTATTTTCAAACAATGCAAAGGTACTGTTTATAAACTAAAAAAAACATTGGTTTTGTTGTACAGCCGAAAGACGAGTATTGGACTTGGTTTCTCAATACGAGGAACTGAAAAATTCAGGCAAACTGAAGAAGCACATTCAAAGGTTACGCAAGAAGAGTATACACAGGGACAGACAGAAATTGGCATCGTCAGAAATCGAATGAAAACGACTGGTGTGCGTGAAATTAAAATTTATATGAATCGAATATATGTCTAGAATGATTACAAGTGTAAATAAGCGTAATAAATACTACTATGACAGTAAATGAAGCCTAATTTTCTTTCACCTAACTTCGCAAACGACTCGTGATGCTCGCGTATCCGAAAGTACCAAATAGAAAGGTAGGATAAAGAGGGCTTTATTAATTATGTATTTTTTATTTAACATCAAAAGTAATGACACTTGGGTTGGACAATGTCTCTCGTTTCTTCCTTAATGTATTTTACGTGTGAAAACAGAACTTACAGAATAATCAATATGAAAGGAATCGTCAATCAGAAGAGATAGTTGGTAGAGCGGTGTACGTTTTTTTTTTTATCTCCGAGGGTGTGTTACATGTGTCTCTATGTTCGCGCGTGTTTCTCGGCGAGTGTAATATGCTGTGTGTGGCTGTTGGTGTGTATACAGGTGTGTACGTGTGGTGGACCGTGTATGCGACGCTAAAAACGAAGAACAGAAAAAAAGAATACAGGGGACCCGTGCACAAAAGGCGATCCTTTCAAGCGGAGCGCCTTCTCGTGGGTCACCATTCACGCGCGATCTGTTTGTCCGTCTTCAATTATTTAAAATATGTACAATATTAATAAAACATCATTCATTATTTTTTTTTTTTTCCTTTTTTTTTTTCTTCTGTTTATATTTTAATCATTCAATGATTCTGTCGTGGTGTGGCGGGCTGTGCAGGGGCGACGTTCCACGGAATTCTCGTGACCACCGTTGTGTCTCTTTCGTCTCTCGCGGAAATAGTTCGATTCTCTTTTTTTTATCCTTTCCTCGTAACGGATTCGAATTGTTTCGTCGCCAAATTGGGTTTGATCGCGATCAACGAAATGCGAAGGATCCGTATTAAAACACTCGTTCTCTCGCCCACATTCACGCGTTACTTGTTCTCCCGCTCGTGTACGCCAATTCACCCGGGGAAAAAATAACCAGTTCACGACGTTCGTCTCGACGATCGAGGTTCGCTCTCGTTTGCAGAACACGAAGAGATTTGCGACTCGCGGGTGCCGAGGATCGTCTCTCTCTCCTATGAATCCGCAGATAAGAAGGGGCAAACCGAAAACAGAGGCGCGAAATGGTTCACGAACGAAAATGCCAATATAAAAAAAAAAAAAAAAAAAAAAAACGGAAAAATTGAAAAACACGAGGTCTGGGGTATGAGAGAAAAGCGGTCTACAGTACGTTCCATGGGACGACGAAACGGAACCAAACGAATCTCCGCGTGACCGCGACGAGGGTTGCATCGGTAAGAGAGACCCCCCATACGTGACTCCACCCGTTACTCTCCGAATACATACAAATGCAATAGAATTTATACAATTTACTATTTATGTATATAAATAACAACGAACAATAGTTACGATTCTATACGCGCTACGTTAATAGGAGAGATTAAATATATCGAACAAAGTAATGGAAACAAAGATATTTTGGAGCGCCGTGTCGATGCAGCCAACGAATCGAGTGATCGTCACCGTCTTGAAACGTACTATAGGACTTTCTATTCGTGACTCGGCTCGATGGGTGCGCGCGCGCGACTCTTGAATGCGAGTTGCATCGTGTCGAAGGTCGTAAGTGAAGTTGCTGCCCGAAAAAAGATCGATCACGTACGAAAGTAAAAGCGGATTATCTCGTCTGTATCCCGCTCAGTCCGCCGCAGATTTTATGGTCTTAGACCGAAATTTCTTCTCGCCGCCACTTTTCCTTGATTTTCTTTTTTTCTTTTTTTTTTCTTTAAATCTCTCTCTCTCGCTCTCTTTCTTTCTCTCTTTCTCGCTCTCGCTCTCGCGCTCTCTCGCTCTCTCTCTCTCTCTCTCTCTCTCGTCGTCGAACTTCGTATCATTTATTTTGTTCGCTTATACGTACTTTGTTCTTCAACAACACGATCTAGACTAAACCATATATAATAATTACATCTAATAATATCTTATTGTAACATGTATTACATTATAATTATTATTATTATTATTATATTATTAATGTTTAAATTATTAGCCTAAAGTAAAGAGGCGCACGACGGCAAAGCATTTTTTTTGGGCTCCTACGCCCCCCGGGCACGGAACACCCTGTCGACAAACCACGGATCCCTCCAATCCAAGCTCCGGCCACCAGATCGCGAATCATTTTACGATAACGAACGGGCTAATGCGTCGTTCACCCTCCCCCCTCCACCGTTAGCATTCTTTTTTTTTTACCTTTTTAACACTTTTTGAACTTCGCGTCCCGTCTCGAAACACGGGGATCCACCGTAAAGGCAATCCATTTTCGGCAACCTTCGCGCACACATTCTCTTCGTTCGATTTCGTTGTGTGATAGGTATGATCCGGATCTCTAGCGCGAAACGAATAAACGCCACGGAAAACGGAATAACATCGCGGCGCAACATTGAACAGCTCTCCTTCGAACACCTAGCACTGCGATAGAGAATCGATGATATCAACTCGAATTCGTGTGTGTCGTCTACTCCATCGACGAGAAAAAACCAAACAACCGGGGACGTGTTTTATACGCGATCCAAGTTTTGGTTACACCGTTTGTCGGGGGGGCTCTGATCCGCGTCCGAGTTCGACGAGCAACGCGACGGTACACTGCTGCCCTCTGTCCGTAATTCTCTCCGTCACTTTCGTTCTAACGACGATGTCGGTTGGATCCGAAATGGCGATCCGCGTGTCTCGAAAGCAATTCGAATGCGTTCGCCGATCCGACCGGATCTCTTTCTAGGCGAGTCGACCCGTTTCGACGCGTCCAGCCCGTCGCGCGCACAACAGAGAAAATTCATTTTGGAAGGGCTGCACGGTGGAAACACGTAAACCCGAGTGGAGGATCTTCCGTTCGTGGAACGGAAGATCGCGGCGAGGCACGGCGGGATCGGCGAAGGCGGAACGTGTTACGCGTGCACTGCACCTCGAGAACACCTCGATTATTGAACACTTAGGGTAGTTTTGGGGCCAGGGTCGCCGAGCGAGCGTCACCCTCGTCTACCTAGATCCTCGACAGTCCGTTCGCCTTGATTCGCGCGGGGAAAAATAAAGAGGAATCGAAGATTGAACCGTTCGAGCTAGATCCGTTGATATCCGATCCGACGACGACGAACTATCTATCAACGAGTGTCGCACGGCTACGAAACCTACGCTCTCCGCCCGTTATTCGTCCGCCCGAAACGAAGCGCCTTTCGTTTACCGACGTGTAGCTAACGCACGCACAAAGAAGCGGGTGAGGCTTTGTGATCATGATCGAAACACATAGGGAGAAAGTAAGACGAGAAAACAACAACCGATAGAGTACGTGTCACACTTGGAGAAAGCACGAGAAACAAGACCACGACTTGTTTTAGATGGCACGTCTCTCGGATCGTCCCGGCCCGAAAAGTCGCGTGGCAGGCATTTTAAGTCACCTTCGTTCGTATTTCTTTTTTTTTTTTTTTAGGTTTTGTCATCTTTTTTTTTTTTGGGGGTTTTTTTTTCTTTTGTTTTCTGTTGCTCCTAAAAAAATTCGAAGGGGCGTTGTATCGACGTTCGACACACATACATGCATACACGCACGACAGACCGCGGGGTTGGTGGTACAGGGCGTTCTGCGTTCGGGGGTCAATGATTTATAGCGAGCTGTCCCGCTGGCGTTTTTTTAAACCTATGAAAAACTAAGAGAATGAATTTATACCTTTTTTTTTTTCCTTTACTTTTTAGTTTCGCCTAAGTAAGAATGATTTTTCTTTCCTCTTTTTTACGGGTTCTCCATTCGCTATTAATAATCCCCTCTCTTCTGTGCTCTTTTCTACGTCGTTCACCATCCTCTACTAGCAATTTTTTTTTTATATCCTGTTACCTCGACTATCGTGGGTGCCCCCGCACCCCCGGAAACAGACACTGGCCCCGGGGATAGACGCAGGTTACTTTAAACTCTCTATGTAGCTCGTTTTCACTTCATTTTTTTTTTTTTCCCTCTTTTCTTTCAATCAAATAACATTGTCATAATTCATTTGTCCGGTTTCAAGTCGGTGAGAGAAACCGCGTCTCTGCACCGCTTCGCTATCAGCACGTGGTAATTAAACAACATATATCAACTCCATTCTTTGTTTCTTTATTAGTATTTCTCTTCATACTCGTCAGTTGGTAGTGATTCGGTTGATAGTTACTTATTAAACTGTCCGTTTGCCGCTTCTCACCGTGCTCCCGCGCATTCGACTTCCTTTTGTTGTATTCATCGTTTCGTGGAACCGTTGGCGTACACACCCCTAACCGGAACTCGCGGTTCCTCTTTACTCGCGTCTCTCTCGTTCCCCCCCCCCTCGTCGCCTTCGTCCATTCCTGGCCCGTTCTAAACAGCTGCTCGGATCAAAGACTCGAACCGAACGATGTTACTTGCAATTGGAACAATTAATGAGTACTGCGAACGCGCTTCTCTTACACCTTGTATATGTCTGTTGTCTTTCTTTTTTTTTTTCTTTTTGTTCGACTGTTTTTTGGTTTATTTCGTTTGGGTGTTTTGTCGTGACTCCTTGCTTTCCTCGTCGTGGATAATCTCTAGGGCGTGCCAATCTAGCGTACTGGTTTCATTGTTAATTAATCAACGATCGATCAAGTGTCTACTCGAGACCCTTGGTTGTCACGAGACGTATCCGGTCGGTTAGTACACCGAATACTCCGTTATTTCCATCTACGTTGCTTCATCAGCGTCTTCTCTATTTTTTGCTCATTTTGAAATTTTTAACAAGCACGTGGCGATCTAGCGCAGCGATCATTGTTCGTTAGATATTTAACACAGGGATGCCTATGAATAGTTTTGTCGATCTAATGATCCTGAATATACTTTATCGTGTACACCCGTCGATGTCCATACGAATCTGCCGGCCTTCGTTTCTCCTCCGCATCCTCGTCCAAAGTTTCACGGGTGTCCTTTCCGGGTTGTCCATTCGCCGATCTCGATGCATTATATTCTCGATTCCCTTCGTTCGCGCTCGTTTAGGCCCTTCGTCTTCGCTCGATCGTCTAGCTCTGATAGTGTATTCTGTCTGAAAATCCGATGGCAGCACCGACACCTATAACCTTCGGTAGCATATCGGGCGTGTACCTGGAAGCCTTTAAAAACTTCCCGACGACGTTGCTCGTTGAACCCTTGTTCATCCTCCCGGTCGATCCTTTCGATGTTTCTCGAACGACGGCCATTTTATGTAATGATACACCGGCACGCGCATGCAAGCGACTCGCGGAGCCAGAAAGTCGAACACGTGTGTGTTTTCCACGTTAATTTTTTTGTGGTTTTTTTTTCTTTTTTTTAGATTTTTTTTTTATCATTTTATTCTTTTCATTTTGTATTTTCTTTTTTTTTTCGTGTACTTCACACTGTTTGCGAGATTGCTGTCGCCGCTGAACACGCGACAGTGTGCCTCCTTTCCTCGACACGTAGCGTAAGAAATGCTCCGCACGTTTGATTCCGCCGTTGTTGGACGGTTCGAGCTCGACTGACGCGAACTTTGCTCCGTCCACCCCCAAAGTGGTTATCTTTTTTTTTCTCGTGATCTCGCGACAGTACGGATAGACCCGAATAGCACGCCCCGTGTAAAATGTATATGTGTTTTAACGTGAATGATTTTTTCTTACCTTCTTGGCTTCATTTCATATTTTTTTTTTTTTTGTTTCTTTTGTTAATTATTATTATTAATATTATTATTATTTTTCGGTGTATATTTTTGCGTGGGTATGCGTCTCATTCTCTCTCTCATCATTCTCTCTGCTACTCTCGCTCTTACTCTTGCGCGCGCGCTCTGCGTGTATGATTAATTCTCCTTTTTGCGTCTAATAGTAAGTTTCTTGCTCGAGCCAGCCTCCTGGATACCGACGGAGGTAGAATCGTCTCGTCTCGTCGTAGATGAAGATGGCGAACATGAAGGGAAAGGCAGGCAGCCACCAGACGAATCTGAAACACAAACGAAGCTCCGTTTAAGCATCGAATGGAATCACAGTCGTAGGGAATATTTTAGATACAGAGATGAGACTTACTTGAGAGGGAACATGCGGAGACCTTTGTCCATGCCGGGCGTGTAGCTTAGGAACGCGGCGAGGGCAGTCTCGAACACCAGACCAAAGTTCAGGGCCCAGTTTCTCATTCCCTGGTGAATGATCGAGTTACGACGCGTCTTACAAACGATCAGATCGGCCCACTGTACAATCACGATCGAGACGAAGAAGGCCGTGTGGCAGGTGAATTCCAATGTCTTGCGATCCCTGTACGTCTACGCGAAAATAAACCAAACTCAGTATCGAAGCTCTTGTCAAGTTGTACTAGAAAGTTATATCGTTATTATTAGATTATTTTTATTAATAGAATTAATGAAACGGAAGCTTCGCAGAGGGCTGTCTCAACCCCTAAATATAATAATTCTTACTTGAAGTATTTCTTATATTCTTGCATATTAAATGCATTCTGTAGTTTTTTGAGGATTAAAATTTCCCACAAATGCATAAACATCCGCAGTCTAGTTATTGTTGCGGTGTTCGCTGGGCTTACCCATTCCTGGCCATAGCTGTCGCGAAGATCGTTGATGGCCTTCGAGTCCCACTGTTTTCGGATACCGAAAAGATACAGCGGGAGGAATCCATTCTCAGCCATGATCACGAAGTAGACGAAGAAACCGGCTGCAGCCTGGATCATACCGATCTGACCGTACGCCATCGAAATAAGCCTAGACATAGAGAATCGCGTTAAACGTGTCCCATCGACCACGACGACGATAGGCGTTGCAGTTACACTCTGTCTTCCAAAGAACTATTTCGAACGAACGTATCAATTACAGACTCGCAAAGGTCTTTAACTTCTCGGAGCAAGAGGATCGTTTTACTTCGAAGATAACGGTGGGAAGTTCTTTGAAGGCCAGACGAAGCTTTCTGTGTACACTAAGTTTGCTTGTAGTAGCCTAAGGTGGTGTTAATATGGAAGCCGTAGTCGGTTAGGATTAAATGCAGATTACTTACCGGATCGGAACGCAGATGATAACGATCGGTTTCTTCGCGTCGAGGCATGCCACACGAAAGCACAAGGCACGCACACACACACGCACACGTCACATATATATATATACATAATAGTATGCTGTTCATCGAGCCTCACGGTGCACGTGTCTCGTTTTCCGAGAATCGAGCTTTCCCCGTCGCTCGGTCGAACCGTGAGATTAAACGAAACCAGCTGACACCAAAAAAAGCAACGCAATCCTTGTTCAGGCAACGTGAATATGCTGGTTGTCTCGGAACCGATCCTGTTCTCTTACGATTTTAGACAATTTTTTACCTTCCTTACAAATTCCATACTCATAAAACAAATTAGTGTCAGTTATCGAGGAAAAAATTCCATCACTTAGCGGGGTAATTCGTCAGAGAGAACAGGCGTACAGTCCAGTCTCAGGTTCTTCGATAATTTGATTCGTTAAAAATGCGTCAAACTCCGTACGAACGAACAAAGGTTTTATGCAATTCCCAACAGGATCAACTCCGCGACGATAGTTTGCATGCGTTTGGCCGCGATGTCGCGCAACAGTCAATTAGCTCGTCAGGCGTTAGATCAAATCAAACAGATTGCAGGCAGAGACGGATCTCGACGGGTCAGATCTGGACGGATGGAAAAAAAAAAAATTGAGCGATTGGCGGGCACGGTTATCGATCGGGTCGGCGGCAGTGTAATCAAGCGAAGTAATTAACAGATCCGATAATCCCGTTCGTATAATCGAGAATCGTTAATTGCTGAACGCTGCTGCTCAGGCTGTGTGCATGGGTGTCGAGTTTTCAAGCAGCTTTTTTTGGCTCTTGCTTTTTCTAACGTTTTTTTGAAACTTCTTTCTATGTATTATTTTTTTTTGTTTGCATACCCGGGGGGGCCACTAAAACTTTACTGTTAATACGCGCGTGAACGTTTCAAGCTACGCGTTCGAGTCGCAGGCGTACAATCGTTAGTAGTCGCTCCAGAGATTCTAGATTTCTAGGTGTGGCTAAAGCATTCGGCATTCCCAACACTGTGAAGCCGTACTTCCACCTAAAAACGACTCGATAATCAACTTCGAACCTCTAATGATAGTCATTCGAGAAGTTTTTTTGTTTTGATCATGTTATAGTCGCGTCGTTTAGGCGAGAGGGCGGCTTAACTCTCCTATAAGGTATAGCTCGACGATTTGGAAAAGATTTCTACCATGGAAGAACCGGTGGCCATCTTTTCCTATTACTGTATATAGACTACTTAAAATTCCACAACCTTAAATTATTTATAAACTCCCACGATTTAATTTGAAAACATAATTTAATTTATTCGAATATCAGAAATTATTTTCTCGACATAACCTTCAATTCTGAATATACAAGGTTGTGGAATTAAAAACGTTAAGCGTTGCTGATTCACGCGAAGCTCGGGGCCACGCCTTCCAGGACCATTTTCCAAGTGATCGAGCTATACATACTGTGCTATACTGATCAACTAGTTTTCCTAGAGACGTGTTTTCTGACTCGTTGGGCGTAGAGTGTCAACCGAGACTGTTGTTTTTTGTTAAAACGACGAATCTCTGTGGGTGATACGATTGCGATACCACCGGAGATTTCGCGTAATCTTTAAAAGAAACTTCCGTTAAATTCTCGTCGTTTTCTCGTCCGTACGGAAGGTACCGTAATCGAACTTGGTTTTCTCTCGCTGCGGGACGGACTCCGCTCCGTCCGCGAGAATCGGTTCTTCCCTCGGGACACGTTCGAACCAAGTGCAGACGAAAGTGCGCACAATAAGAACGTTTAAAAATACAATTTTCGATCGACGCGTGCAAGAAAATAAATAACAAGCGTTTTAACCAACGAACAACGAGAGATTTGTATTTCAGAAAGACAAATGTACGACTTCGGACATCAGTAGACACTCTGTTTTGAATCGTGTTTGTAACAATCATGGCACGCGTACGTATGCGCTCGAGCATACGTATGCTCGATTTCAGTGTTGTTTGAAAGGTCAAACTCGTTCCGCGGCTATTATTTTACTCTACCGTTTCGTACAAAAAAATATCAAAAATCAAATTATTTTAACCACGAACACGAGAAAAAAGTTGATTGGTAAATGTATACGCGAAAATTTTTTACTATTAACGAACCACTATGAATCTTCGAAGGACGATTTCATCCCTTAATGTAGAGTTGAAAAATTTAAAAAGAAAATCTATCCCTCGTTTTTGACTGTTCTAGAAACCACTGCCTCTAAAATCGTTTTTACCGTCGGAACAGTTTTGGCCGTCCGTGCAACGTGAATGTGTTTGTGTATGTATGGGTGTGTGTGTGTGTGTGTGTGTGTGTGTACGTGTGTGTGGGGAAGGAACTGTTTTTCTCTGGGTGGGTAGTTGGGAGACCCACCTTCGGTTGACAAGATTGTCTCTGTAAGGATCGCGGGGCTGCCGTTTCATAATGTCCGACTCCGGTGCCTCGTAAGCTAACGAGATGGCCGGCACCTGCCATCCACCATTGATTAGAATGTGTGCCAAGCACCCCGTACACCGTACAAAGTACATATATATACACACGTTATACATGTATGCATATTTACATGTAACGTACAGATCATCAATTGATTGTACACAGTGATAGCGAAAGAGACAAGGAGGAGGGAGCGGGGGGAACGCGCGAAAAGTTACATATCGGAGAAAGAGTTCACGATCTCTCGATCCAGAGTCTGCACAGAATCGATCAACCTCCAAAGATCGTCCCTGTAGCCGTGCATCCGTTCGCTAGTCGGAAATGAAACACCATTCGTTTCTGTCTTTCGAACGCCACGCCAGAGGGAGCGGAGAAAAGATGGCGGCGGCGATCGTAGCGCTATTGCGCGGGAAAAGTCCCAACGACGATCTCCAGCGGGCAACCGAACCTGTCACGATCCGACAAGCCAAATATTTTAGGTTAAATGACTCTTTCTCCGGTTTTGCCTTCCCTTCGTTCCCTGTTTCCCGTTTCCCGTTTCCTGGTCGGGGGACCAGCACTGTATCACAGTGAGAATCGAAAAATTGGCATACGCCGTGCAGCGTGCTCTCTGCTGGGGTTAAGTGACATAACGGTCCTTCCGCTGAACACTGTGATCCACGAGCCTCGAAACCCCTTGCAATTTCTAACCTAGTTCCAATTCACGATTCTATTAAAATGGGTTTCGATCCCGGATCGCGTGTTCAGCGTACGAAGAACTGGTCACCAGAGTCGATCTTGCTTCGATCGTCGTTTCGTCGATGCTCGATGAAGTTCCTTTATAGCTGAGATTCTTTGTCTTTGTTTAGGTTAAAATTTATTTAGCAGATCAGTCTAATTAATCTGAAACTCTTTGTGGCACTTTTAGGCCCAAGGAAAATAAGTAAGAGAACCACCAATAAACCAAGGAATCGTCATCGAGCATTTCGTCAGGATTCCCTTCTCTTTCGTGCACTTTTAAATACGATTCAAGCTTCATTTCTGTTAGTATCCTTAAAGCATGGTTCCCCCAATGCACACTGAGAGTCCTGTAAATGTTAAATGAACTTTTAAACGATTCACGCGTACAATTCGAGAAACGAACGTTGTGCATATTGTTTGGAAGGGACTCTCTGTTGCATCGGAGGGGGGCATAAACAACCTTATTCCTCCCGTTATATAATATGCATACAGGCCCATGAAATATATTCCCGCATTAGCAACTTTCGATCGCAAGTGATCATTTTGACAAAAAAGTGTCTTTCGCTCGGTCGCTCAGCACCCGTTAGAAAGTTGCCAGTCGCAGAAGTGGTAGAAGGCAGCGGCGGTAGGCAGCGCATTACAGAATAAAATTGTGAGAGGACTGTAAAGAATAAAAAACTGCAAAGAAGAATCATGGACGCCTAAAAAATGTACAAAGGTGCCATATTTTTTTTTCTGTTTTTCCTATTCTTTCTTTTTTTTTTTTGGTAATTTGGTTGGTTCTTTGCGGTGGACACATCGTGGCGATAAGAAACAAAAAAATAATAGGTAAATAGTAATAAGTAGTAGTAAATAGTAATAGTAAAAATACGAGAGAGGTAGCAGCGGTAGCTGTGACAGTAGAATCGTAAAAAATAGTAGTAAAAATTCGTTGCTATCTTAATAAATAATGCTGGCTTGTGGTTCGTGACGGCGTAACAATAGTAAATAGTAATAACAAAGAAACGATAAACGATAAGAAAAAAAAAAAGAATGAAAGAAAATTGGTGATGGCAATCGTATTAGGATATTGAAAAAGATGCTCTCTATTGACGAGGATTGAAAACTTGATGATGAGAAAAGAGAGTAGAAGAGGGGGGGAGGCGACGATACTTACTGATGAGCTAGGACAGTGATAATAATAGTGATGACAATGATGACACTAATGACAGTAGTACGATAACGACAGTCACCAATAAAATATATATGTAAACACACGACTATCGATCTATGTACACATTATATACAAATAGAATCGAGACTGAACTAGCTAGTTTTCGAGGCGAGCGTCGTCGACGATGCAACTCGCAAGAAACTATTTACTCGACCACTTTTTCTCAACTTTCAATTTCAAAGAGCATAACTGCTAGGATATTTTTACAAAAATTGCCTTCTTACTTTTCATCGAACAGGGAACACAAAACGTTTTAGTACTTGGAGGATCAGATTTTATCAAAATTATATGATACTTTATGTAAATTAATATAACACACTATGAAGACTTATCGAACAGTTGCATCGTCAACGACGCCCTCTATCGTAATCTCTATGATAGTCGAAGTTCGTGTAATCCGACAAAAGATACCAGAGAATCGATCGATGCAGAAATTGGAAGAATTCCGGAGCAAGAAAAAAATTTCTTTAAGCCAGTAACGTTGTGTTATAGTTATTTTAAAATCTGCATCGATCTTGGCGATTCGATTGGCTCTCCTACTACATCCGGTGTGTTTCTTCGTGTAAAAGTTGTCGACGCGTATTTTCTGACTGTTAAAATTCGACGTATCAAGGATAGAGAGGAACACCGACGATTCCCAGACTGTCCATGGACACTTCTCTCCGCTAATCATGCACGTTGCTAGAGATTCGAGACGAATTGGAAAAATGAAGACCGTGGAACAAAAGCTGTCGAGACGCGGGAATGAAGAGGTAACGAAATGGCGGTGAATCTCGAATCCCTCGGGCGAGACAGCCGGGAACAGCGGAGAAAAAGAGAGAGAAATATAGCGAAAGAAAGAGAACAAAGATTAAGAGTAGAAAATAAATCGTCACGGCGGCCATTTTAGGTATCGACGAGTCGACGATGGCGGTCCCCAAAAAACGGGATCGCCGGAGCACGATGTGCAAAGTTCCCGAGCTGAGTCGACATGTTGGATTGTCAAAATCGAAAAATTGTGGCTCGCAGAATAATGCGGTGAAACGTGAAGGCCAAGCCAAAGCCGGTAGTCCGGCGTAAGAGAAAAGAAAAATCGTTGGAAAATGGTACTCAACTTCCTTTTTTTCCCCCAATGGCGGATCAGTTTCGTAAAGGGATGAAGCTCGGTCCAGAAAGAGGGGTGGAGATTTAAGAGATAGAAATTAGAAGGTGACAGATAGAAATAGATAGAGAGAAAAGAGAGTGAGAGAGTGAGAGAGTAAGAGAGACTTCAGATCGGCTTACCTTTGGCGTTAACGAAACAACACTAATTACAAGCGAGGATCATCGTCACATTGGAAGCGATCGCTTGACTGGCAATGGATTCAGAGGAAGAGAAAAAAACCTTCGAGAGAGAAACACGCTGCGATTGCTCGTCCTGCGATTTTTATCGCGTATTTTATGCTACGCCATTGCTTGCGATTTTCGCGGGCTATTCGAACGGTTCTAGATAAAACCGACTCGCTATAAATAATACAAAAACGGAGAATAATTGATAATTTTTTAACTTCAAATTTTTGAAAGAGGAAATGCTCCTCTTGGATATGTAATAAAATACACTGACGGAAATGTCTTTGTACTTAAATTGTACAGCTTCCTCGACTGAAATTTTTGGCACAAAATGGCGTGATCGTGGACGAGCAAACGTCACTGATCAAGACACGATCCAGCTCGTATCGAGTGTCGACCGGACTCTCGAACAGAGAGAAATAGAGACAGAGAGATAATAAAAGTTCTGATAACAAAGCTCTAGTGTATATACCCAGTCACCAAATGCCCCGAAAGTGTTATACCTGCGTGCACCATTCTCGGTTACCTTTTTTTTTTTTGGTTAGATTCGATCGTATAGATTCCCCTAGCGTATCCGAGTCCTCTGACCAAGGCATATCCGAGCAAATTAAACCCAGCCTTTTAGCGTTTCATCGAACTTACAAAGCAAAAATAAAACGAAAAACGCGAAAAGACGATACGTATATAACCAGACATTTTCTCTTATCGCTCGATATATGCTCGAAAGCTTCAGCATTCTCCGATATGCAAATGCGTTCCAAAGACGGGAGTTAGGCGTGACAAAGACCCCGTTGATCGTTCACAATTCTCGTTAAAAAAAAACAAACAATTATCAGCGAACACGTAATCCACGGACACCACAGTTATCGACCCAACAAACTTTCTCCACAGAATCAAAACAATAAAAAATTAGCAAAGGATAAACGAAACCAGACAATTCCTACGAAAGAGTTAAGGCCAGGGATTAATTTACACACGAAACATCGTTTGTCGCCCTTGTTCACAGGTCTCGCGGTGCGTGTCGGGCAACAAATGCTCAGGAAACAAGACGTGTTCACGAAAATCTTTTTGTGTGGTTTCTTTTTTTTTTTTTCTTTTTTTTTCGGTGGTCGAACGAGTAATATAGTCACACAAGACAGTACGAACTAGCTACTACAATAACCATAGGAGTAAGTAAGAAGTGTAACGACCAATAGGCAGGTAAAAGGAGAGAGCGATGGCGACTGCGGTGACCCGATCCTCGAAGCTGAAACACGGACGATTTTCTAGCCACTTTGCATCTTGGTCACCTGGACCACCGATCCTACACGCCTAATTAAATAATTTACCCGAACCTTTGGTGTCGTAACAGCTTCGAGGGTCGGGCGTGTCGTGTCACCGATTACTCTTTCTGACCATAAAAAAGTATATCTGGTGTAGCTTGTCAAGACTCGTTTATGTTGTTGATGTGTTACCTTTCGTTAACTAGCTTGTCAGTGAACGGGTTTCGTGGATGTCGCTTCATAATATCGCTCTCTGCCTCCTCGTAGGCAAGTGAGATGGCTGGCACCTGACGTCACATTATCAACAAGCTCAGTAACAAACGCCAAACAGTTACATCGTGAATATTGTTCGGCCGTGACCTTTGCGACAAGGATGCTGACCAACGGTTAGGGTACCTAGCGGAAGGCTTTCGACCCAGAGCTGATCGTCTGATCGTGGAGTATCGCGGCGATCAGCATCCTTGCAAGTGTGTCATATGATGAAAAACGTAGAATGGTAAGCAAAAAATAACTGAGAGAAACCAAATTGATCGGAACGATGAAGTGGGAGGGGGGATCAACGAAAGGATCATCGATGGGATTCGATCGGGAATCGGTGTTCTTTTGGGCTCGCTACTCTTTAGGGCTTCCTCTTTGTTGCTTATCCGGCGACTCTGTGAAAAAAGTTGATTACGTTTAACCAGTAGCGTCTAGATTCGTCCGGAGATCAAGTTCTAGCTTCAGGAACAAAGACACCGATGAAAATCTGACAGATCTCCGCAGGAATCGAGATGCTTCGGCGTGAAAGATTCAATGAAACGTTGATAGATACTCTGCAAAGTTACTCGTCTATCTAGAGTGTAAGAAAGTTGAGAAAGTTAGCGTCTATAGTGGGATGGCTCCTAGACCTGGCGTACTGCGGTTACTGGAGCTCTACCTAGCTTGGAGGATCACATAATCGTAAGAGAACCTAATAAAGCGATATCGTATGGGGGCCAGCCTTTTCGTAAAAAGAACCTTTCGTTGACGAGGTTGTCGTGATCGGGATCGCGGGGCCTTCTCTTCATAATGTCGGACTCGGCGTGCTCGTACGCCAACGATATAGCTGGTATCTGACAATCATCGTTTCAGCATTTAAAACACCAAAAATGGAACTTGGTAAGTTTTACTGCCATGGATCAAGAGATCGATATCGCTGAAAATCTTTCGTTACTCGCGAATGGGAATCGCGACGACTCCTCGAGGGATGCGATCGAACAACGATCGAGGAGCCGTTGGGATCCCCTCGACGATCTTCACGGGGTTGTTTCCGCGTGGAAACCATCGAGAACGGTTAAGCTGTAGGAATGGTCACTCACCATGTCTGTTCCCAAGTCGATGCAGAGAATGGTGACGGTACCAAGGGGCAGAGGGATGTCGCAAAGGATGAACGCCAGGAAGGGTGAGATTTCAGGGATGTTCGAGGTCAGGGTGTAGGCAATGGACTTCTTCAGGTTGTCGAAGATCAGACGGCCCTCCTCGACGCCTGTCACGATGGAGGCGAAGTTGTCGTCCAGCAGAATCATGTCGGCTGCTTGCTTGGATACGTCGGAACCAGCGATACCCATGGCTACGCCAATGTCGGCCTTCTTCAACGCGGGCGAATCGTTAACACCGTCACCTGGAATTATTTCACTCTTTAGTACAGAATCTTTATAGCCTGGGTCAGAGTTTTTCAGAGTTTCTTGGACTACAAACTCTTGAGCAAATTCATTATGCTCTGATAAATTAATTGACGTGTCTCGACCCACTTTATCTTGCCCAAGTAGTCGAGTACAAAGTGTTATTTATTTCTTGTATCGTTTCCTTGTTAGCCATGCTTTCATACCCAACATAGGTTAAGATTTTTGTAGAAATTGTCTATGGAATATTAACGTAAAATAGCGTACCAGTTACAGCGACGATAGCACCCATTCGCTGGCAGCCTTCGACGATGATGAGCTTCTGTTGAGGCGAGGTACGGGCGAACACAATTTCGGTGTGGTACCTGAGAACCTCGTCCAATTGGTCGGAGTTCAGTTCTCTGAGATCGGTTCCGTGGATGACGGCAGCCTTGGCCTCGCGAGGATTCACTTCGGATACCGGGATGTTCAATCGTTGGGCAATGTCCTCGACGGTCTCGTTACCTGGAACAAGAAACGACGAGTCACCAGCTGCCACGACACCGAGAACTTTTAAGACATGTCTGAGAGAGCCTGGAACTTTCCAACTAATTCTCGAAGAGACTCTAAATCTTTCATAAGGCTGCCAACATCTGTTATTAAGCTCTGAATATTTCATAAGAAGGGACGAGAGCTCGGGGACGAACTTTCAGCGAAGTTACTACTTTTTCGTTTACGCTTCGCCGCCGTCCGGGCGTACTTTAACCACCGGGAACGTGAAAGTTGGTAAAAAAAAAATATTCAAGCGTAATGAAGAATGATTAAAAAGTATAACGGTCGAATATTCATGCCAGAGGTAATTTACAAAGAGTTTCGGCAGCCTTCTGTAATATCATTCGTCCCAGAAGATTTTGTTAACAAGTAATAAGTCTTTCAAAGCGTTCAATTATTTTTTAAAATCTTGGAGTGGCTACTGGTAAGCTACCGAAGGGAACTACCAGGCCAAAGCCCTCAAATTGTCCACGAAAACGATACACTTTGTCATAGAGCTATCTATCTGGCTTTTCTTTGACATCTGATCTTGAAAACTATAATAATTTTTGTTTACAAAGATATGGGGAAAAGAGATGCTGACCTTCAGAGATGATACCGACGGATTTGGCAATGGCTTTGGCAGTGATCGGATGGTCACCGGTTACCATGATGACCTTGATACCGGCGGAACGACATTTAGCGACCGCGTCGGGCACCGCAGCCCTGGGCGGGTCGATCATAGACATCAGGCCCACGAAACGTAGTCCTTCGCACTGGAAGTTGGGATCGTCGCTGTTGAACTTGAAGCCGATGGGGAACTTGTCGGACGGCAGCGTGAAGTCGCAGAAACCGAGTACACGTTCGCCGAGGCCACCCAGTTCGAGGTACGCGTTGTTGAACGCCTCCTTCATCTCCTCGTCGAGCACCTTCTCTTTGCCACCGATGAAGATGGTCGTGCAACGGTCCAGGATCCTCTCCGGTGCTCCCTTCATCACCAACAGGTGCCTGGGATCGTCAGGGTTGTCCGACTCGTGGATAGACACCTGATACTTGTTGGTGGAGTTGAAGGGTATCTCGCAGACCTTCTTGTTGCGTTTCCTGATGCCCATCACGTCGCCCAGGGCCAGTTCCATGCATTTCAACAGAGCAGCCTCCGACGCGTCGCCGTTCACTTCCTTCTTCAGAAGGGGTACGTGCTCCTGGCCGGGTTTGAACTCGGCGCGGTTGCAGAGGGTCGCGATCTTCGCCAACGCTTTGAATCCTGGACTGGTGCGGTCGTACTGCAACCCGGACTGATCCTCCGTGGTGTCAGCCTCGATGATCTGATTGTCGAACCACATGTGAGCGACCGTCATACGGTTCTGCGTGAGCGTGCCGGTCTTGTCCGAGCAGATAGTGGACGTGGAGCCCAGCGTCTCTACGGCCTCCAGATTCTTCACCAGACAGTTCTTGGACGCCATTCGCTTCGCGGTCAGGGTCAAGCAGACGGTGACGGTGGCCAGCAAACCTTCTGGTACGTTCGCCACGATGATACCGATGAGGAAGATTACAGCGTCCAGCCAATGGTAACCGAGGATGAAGGCGATCACGAAGAAGGTGACGCCGAGGAACACGGCCACGCCAGTGATCAGGTGGATGAAATGGTGGATTTCTTTGGCGATCGGTGTCTCGCCGGTGTCGAGACCGGATGCCAGACCTGCGATCCTTCCCATCACTGTCTGATCGCCGCAACAGATCACCACTCCTTTCGCCGTGCCTTCGACCGCGTTTGTCGAGAAGAACGCGAGGTTCTTCGTTTCCAAGGGGTTCTCGTGCGTGAACTCCGGAGACCTGGACTGCGGCTCCGATTCACCGGTCAACGAGCTGTTGTCCACCTTGAATCCCCGCGACTCGATGATACGGATGTCGGCCGGTATACGATCGCCGAACTTCACCTCGACCACGTCCCCCAGCACCAGGTCCTCCGCGGTCAGCGTGACTTTCTCGCCCTCTCTGATCACCGTCGCGAACTGCGGCACCATGTTCTTGAACGATTCCATGATCTTGCTCGACTTGCTCTCCTGATAGTACGAGAATATGCCCGTCACTATCACCACCGCCGCCAGCACGATGCCCAGGTAGAGATTGTCGTCGTTCGGGTCCTCGCTGGTGGACGCCTGGATCGAGTACGCGATGAAGCAGAGGATCGCGCCGATCCACAGCAACAGGGCGAAACCACCGAACAGATTCTTGCAGAATTTTACCCATTCTGGCGTCTGTTTTGGCGGCGTCAACGCGTTCGGACCGTCCCTCTCGAGGTTCTCCTTTGCCTTCGCGTGACTGAGGCCCTGCAACGCATACACAGTTGAAATTCAGAGTCCACTCAAGGGTTCAGAGGAGCTTGGTTTCACTTACGTTTTCGGGGTGAGTCTGAAATCTTTGATACAGTTCCTCGGGTGTGATTTTGTGGAAGTCAATGTCCAACTCCTGCTTCAAGTCGTCTAGATTGTCCGTCCTCCGCTTTGGGTTCTTCCGCCGCGACTGCGTGGACAAAAAACAACAGACGGGGTTAACGACACTAACTCTGCTATAGGATCACCCGTGCAAGAATTATGTTACCTTCAGACACAGATAGCTTACGTTACAGAATCGTTGAATTTGGGATCGTTATTGTTAATCTTTTGGATGAAAATGTGACCAACTCGTGGAGGATCAAAGATGAGGTAAGGTTTTTGAGGTTAGTCGAGGAATGAAAGATAAGAGTCCTTCCCTTCTATTTAATATTAATGATACACGTACTACGAAACTACAGAAGCAGCTACTATAGGAGGTTGATCAGGAAAGTCCAAGTTTACACATTGTTATAACACAAATTACTCCCCCTGATGTGATTGTTAATTGGGAGATTTGATTACAATATTTGTAGATCGTCCGACGATCCTCGTTAATTAAAGCGTCGTCCGTTTTGGCGGTAATGGCGTGTTGATGTGTTTACGTGGGAATTACCAGCAATCCTGTTGTTAAACGTACGTTTAGAACATAATCCTGTTAAACCCTCCTCCAAGGATCGGTTAATTATCCTGTATTAACGTGTCAGCGCAGCAGACGAAGAGTACCATTTTTTTCGACGATTACGTAATGATGCAGAATGATCGAGACCCATGTTAGCGTGAGTTTTTTAAAATACTGTGCCGTGCGAGTACCAATCGACAGGATAGATTTCGTCGAGAAGAGAGAGAAGCTGACAGAGTGAAACAGAAAATAGAAGAACAGTAAGGTAGAATTTCTCTATTAATATTATTATTAAAAAACAATTCTGTTGGAAATAAGGAAACGCGAACGAGCATCGTTAGCAGAATCTCGAAGAACGTTTACAGAGAATATTTAGAAGAGACACTCGAGACTGCAGAGAATTGTTAGGAGAGAGTACGTAAGAAAGGTTATTAGTCGAGAGCAACGAAAGAACCAACCGGAAGACGAAAGAGCACCGCGGCAAAAAGTTTCAAAAGGCGAGATGAAGAATGTTTTTTTTTTTTTATTTGCAGAAACTAGGAGAGAACGGTCCATCACCGACGAAGCAAGCCGCGACATTGCGAGCGTAAATGGAGTCACCGCGGGGGCCGGAAGTCCTCCGGTGCGTATACCTTGAACATCCCGTCGGCCGTTTTGTTGTCGTCGCGAATTTTGGGTAACGTGGCGACCCTGTACGAGTCTGAGCGGCCATGCTGTAAAAAATGTATGATAAAAAAAACATGAGACATGTGAGGAAAAAAAATACAAAATAAATCGATGCGACACAATGGTTAAAAACAAAATAAAAAAATTAAAAAACGCATGTTTGTTCGACGGGTTCGATGATGCGGTGTGTGGATCGACGATGGTCGTTGCACCTAAAAAGTGTCAAGATTTTCCCAGAAATCGTACCACACAGATGGCTGTATCGGGAAAACGATATTTCCCCCGGAATTACAGAGTCGAAACGATACACCACGGTGTGTGTCCAATTTTCTCAATCCAGCGACAAGATCGTCGCACACAAACGCAGAAACGCACTCGACCGACCTTCTCGAAACACGTGGGCAGCGTAAATCGAACACGTGAGACCGCGGTGCAGCCAGAGAAGCCTAATTTTCAAGTTCGACCTCGCCAGCCCGAGCTCTACTCGTTCGCGTTCGGATAACGACCGTTTCCGGTGCCGTTTCAATGGAGGCGTATCGCTGAAATCGTTCGATGGTATCCCGTGATCGAGACTATCCTTCGAACGAGTCCCACGGACCACAGGTGGATCGAGTTTCCGACGTTAATCAAGGGACAAAACACGATCAAACACCTTTCGATTTTTCATGCTTTTCTAAAAGATTCTATAAAAATAAAATTCAATTGCTTCGCCAAAACTTTTTCAAACTTATTTTTCATATTCTTAGGGACAGAATTTTCGGAGACTCGAATTTTGCATTCCCCCCTTTTAGCCCCAATAAACACGCCACTGGTGTTCTAGAAAATACCGTGTATTTCAAGACCTTCGTTCATTAACACTTTCGTAACCAGCGATTCTAGCGCACGACCTAAAAACGGCAACCGCGTATAATTTTCAAAATTTTCCAAACGAGTCTTGAAATATAGCAAAGCATTTTGTACGCGATAATCTGGTCTAAAAGTAATTAATTGAAAGTTATTAAGGCCAGAATAGTCGAACAGAAAAGAGCTTGCAAAAGAGCGAATTATTACTGGGAGGGATTGGTTCCTAGCTCCTAGACCTTGGATAATCGATGACAAGTCACGAATTCGCCAGGGGTCGCAACCCTCGAGTTTCGAGAAAAAAGACTCACGCGACTATCCACGGAAACAGATTTATATTCTTTGTAGATATATATATATATATTAACATTTTTATCAAATTATATAACCCCGTAATTGATACGAAACCGAGGAACGACGATTATAGGACGCGTATCGATTTCCTCGGCAGTCTGCACGTGTGCGGTGCGATACGATAATTGTCGCTCGTCGCGGGAGAAGATTTTGCCCAGCTGCAGTGCAGTAAATTGCCTCGACCTCTCTCGTCGGGCTCGGGAACGGTGATTCCAATCTTGAACGTGTCGCGGAAATAAGTGAAATTGATTGGCGTGTGGGTCCAGTATAGTTCTTGCCATACAAAGATCAAGATCGCCCCCCGAAACATAACGTAGAAATAAAAAAAAAAAAAACAGAAAACAGAGCATGGGGTTTCGAGCCAACTTTCTCGGTGCTAATAATTCCTCTTATCTTACGAGTACGGGAGACACATAATTTTGAGCAAACTTTTTCCGATAAACACTCGATTCTAGTCGTAAGAATGGGAGCAGCGGTATTCGAAGCAATCAGAGACGCAGGAAACACTACTGATTCGCCAAATGGCTCGCAAAACCGTCGAGACCAACGGAAATTCGCACGACAGCCTCCGACGGGCCCGAAAAAAGGTTCGAATCGAACGCGAGCGGACGTAGGGCCACGCATACTCGTCCGCGAGCGCGACAGAGACAGAGAAAACCTCGGTCTCTATTGATCCAAATGATACAGACACAAAGGTACGCGGCGCGCGGCTGTTCGTCAACGATTTTAACGAGCGGTGTGTGTCGACGGCAGTTCTCGTTCCGTCGAAATAAATTGCTTCAGATAGCCGCTGTGTCATGCCCTCGGGACGCGCCGCATGACCGACATTTTAATGGGTAGCTTGCGGGGATTTTAGTTTCGCATGTTGCGTGTCCGGGGTCCGTCTTCCGTCAACCAAACTCTCTCTATTTCTTTACTTTTCATTCACCCTATCCTACCAATTACATATGGCAAATTCGAATTAATTATGTATCTTAATAATAACACGATTTTTACTTCTATGGGAAATTTGTATATGATTAAGGAACTCTCGAATTTGGGTGATAATAAGATCCAACGATGCAGAAATCGAAGAAAAAACGGGACACGGTCGATGGGGGTTTCGAACCCACGATTTTCGGATTACTGGCCAGACGCCCTACTCGCTGAGCCAACGCCGCAACGTTCCTTTCTTATCGTTAATGATTCCTTTTATACGATACACTTGGTATAATAGTAAAATTCAAAGTTCATTTTTCGGATTCGAATACTATTATAAATACTGAAACTCTCATGCTCCCTATTCCACTCAATGTTCATTTACACTCCATGAAACGACAAGCGTGCTACGATCCGACTCCTCGGAGGGCAATTTTCAGTTCCCCTCGCGTTCGTTCGGTATTTTGCCGGTGGTCGAGAGTCCCGTCGCGGTCGTTTCTTCTTAGAGCGAGTAGGTGTCCATAAACGCTTTGCTCCCTCCCCGTTTCATTGATTCGACGGTAACATTCCTCGCTTGCAATTCCACTAGGTGCGCGTGCATGCGCCGCCGCGAGGTGCGTACGTAACGAAATTGCATAATCGTGCTTCCTCAATGACGAGAGCCACCGTGTGACGATCAACGAGAGATAATAATGTCGCGGAATTGTCGCGTTTACGCGCTCGCGCGCACGCTGTCGCGAGAAAACGTGCGTTAACGGAATTACATGCATTCTTTTTACGACCGCTCGATCGCTCCACTAACGCTCCCGCTTGACATTTTTATCTAATCGTGAACGCATTCCGGCGAGCGTGTTCGCGCCAACGTACGGAGCCGACTACCGACTTAATTGAGCCACATCTACGTAGGAATATTGAATTACCACGAATTATTCAGCGAGTTAAACGAGCCAGGGTTAAGACTGCGAACGCGGAACGCAAAAGTGGCAAATTTATTAAAAAATTCTGGCCAAAATATGAAGATAACTTGTTTTGAGGTTAGCTTGTAAGAGGTTCTCGTGATCGCTGATCACGAATATAGGGATAGATCAAAGTTAGGGGGATGGAAATCACAATTCCTTGACACTAGAAAGACTGAAATTTAGTATATACCATTATTGCCCAAAAGCAGTCAAAATGACTGTATTGTGAAAGAATAACTAATGTGTAAAGAAATTCGTTTAAAATTAATTCCAATTGAAATTAAAAAGCAGTCAAAATGACTTCCTTGGGCAATCTAGTGTCAAGTATCCCGGAAACCAACCAAGTTGGAACAAAATTTTGTACGGAAGAAACGTATGATTCTTTTTATGGGCAGCAAGATGGTGTCCTAGGTGGCGCCACTGTTTCGTACCATAGAAAATCTAGTGGGGAAAGCAGTCGAATCGCGTTCGATCTCGACCAAACAAACTCGAACCGGAGGATTACGTAGCACAAACGCAGAATCGTGCCCTCGACGACGTCTCGATCGATGAAGCTGAGGTCTGGAGGCTGATGGAGGGGAGGGGGTTGTGTAGGTGTGATTCGAATACGAGGAATCCACGAAAATCCTGATCGATAGCCAAGGCTGTCGACGGGCGCGCGGGCTAATCCAATATAAACCGCGATAAAGTCCGCAGGATGAATACGATCGACCTTATGCAAATTTCCACGGCACGACAGCCACGGGGAACGGGTTCGTGAGTGTGCGCCGGACGCGGCACAGTCGCATAGGTTGGCTGTGCGCGCGCGTACGGACTCGCGCCAGGACCGGAAGTGGTCGTCGAGCAGGAAAGCGTCGCGATAAGGCCGCGTCTCGAACGAATCGACCCACTGTTCATTTAGCAGATCAAAGCTGGTCTCCGAAGAGTTCGAGCGAACGTTAAGCTACGTGCACAATTGCATCCCTCGATCATCCATCGCTCGAAAGATGGCGGAGGGAGAGAAAGAGGGTTATGGCAATAAGCACCACTTTCGACAAAAACAAAAACCAGTAGTTGCATTGATTTTTTAAGTAAATCAGAATTGCACCCCATGACTTCCTGGAAATAGGGGAATATTCTGACGTAATGAGACACTCCGGGGGCAATTTATTTCTTGCTACGTAGCAAGATTCAAACTCGAGACCGCGGGTTCCGTGAGTTGTCAGGGTCTTCGAAGATTCATGACTAGGTTGTGAATTATTTATGCTCCTCGTAAAAGACGATGTAGGTTGAAGATCGTATTAACAACACCAAGGACGGATAGAATCGTTCCTGTAGATAAGACTCTAATTTCCCTGCAAGTTTGAGCATCAGTATTCACTTTTCAAATTGTTTTTAGGTTAAGAATATATTGTATAATAACCCTACTATCTACATAACCCAAAAATAAATTACTTCGAAACACCTTAAAACACAAAAAGGCGCGAGAAACTGATCAATGGGGATTCCCCTCTGTTGCAACGGCGGAGGAACTAAAAAATAAACTAGAATCGAGTTTCCCCGCAAATAGGTTCGAGATCGAATTACAAGAAAGGCGTGACACAGCCGCCGCGTTTCAGTTATTCCGATACAGAAATTAGTTTCCACTCTCCATTGTTTCCCGTCGAGGCGCGAAACGGGGTGAAACTCACCCTTTCGTATCGAGTGAAGAAGGGGAGGGTGGGAGACCTGATTCTTGAGCGGCCCGCGTACGCAGCCAAGAATTTCGTCGAGGCGGACGCGACAAACCGGGTTTAATCGAGTTGCATAACTACCCCCACCGGTGCTCATCGACAACCCTTGGACGCCAAAGGGGCGGGAGAACGACCCCGGAAGGGATGCGACGGGCTAATTCGAAATTCTAACGAAGTCAGCCGCGCTTAACCCAATTCGATCCTCGTCGAGCACTGGATTTCGTTTTGTCAAAAGGGTGGAGTTTTTCAGGGGGTCGGGGGAGG